AACACAAGGGCCGGTGGTGTCACAATCTATACTGTGATTCATGAACAGAATCTCAAGATTTTTTTGTATAGGTTATAATTTTATTATTATTATAATCTAAAAATGTTGGTGGTGTCATTTCGTGACATGACAAGTTCCTAAACTACTACATGCATTCCCATCACTGACTCCTTCACCAACTTCTCAGCATCTTTATTATGAATATTTATGTGTTCGGTAATTGATATTTTGATCGGAAATAATATATACATTTTGTCTGGTTTTTATAAAACAAAATAAAAATATTAGAGGCGGAGGGGACCAGGGAGATCGATTTTCGGGAAGTGGGGTTTGTCTTTGCCTAGATGGGAGATATGGTAGGGTTAAGTGGGACCTACAATCACAGCTGTACATCATCAATCATCTTGTACGGACGCCTCCTCATTGGATTGCTGTTGCGGGATTTGACGCCCTTCGTGTTGGGCCCCCTCTTCTTTTCTATGATTTTCATGCCCATTTCGGTTTTCAAGGGAACAACAAAACCCTCTGATTGAGTTAGTTTTATATAATTAATATCCAACATTTAATCATCAATGCGAAATGCCAGTTCAGTTGATAGAACATAATGGTTTTAATCTTAGGATTTTGAGATCGAGTCTCACGGAGGACATTTCATAATTTGGAGGTCTCCTACGAAAGTTACTCTCAATCCGGCGTTAGGAGCAACCTACTATCCTACCTTCCCTTACCTCATTATATATAGAAATAAGGGTCAACTAATTTTTTTTTATTCAATCATCCATGCCACTTATATTATATTGATAGTCTAGGCTTGAGATCTTAGGTTCATTTTTATGTAAATATTTAGAGATTGTGTATCTTTAGGATTTATGGTTAGTTTTTGTTCAGGAGTATTAAATTTGAAATAAAAAATATTATTTTGTAATCACGTTAACTTAATCAAATAATTAAATAAGTGAAGTCGTCTAGATTTGTATAGTACAAGAAATTTGAGAATCAATAGAGTGACTGCTACTATAAATATGGTATACATGTGTTATAACCATTTTTCGTAAAACAATTAAATATTAGTTTAAAAAACGATGATGGCTTTTATTTAGAAAAATTGGTGATTGGGAATTAATTAGGAATTAAATTGAAAGGTCTCCATCGCATTTGAGCTAGGTAGGTCGAATACTTAAAAACGTATTTTAAAATAATTTTAAGAAAAATCATTTTTAAGACAAAAGTTGGTATGCGCTTACAAAGATTTGATTAAAACGGGTTCGGGAATCGGTTACGTGTGGGAAATGATTAGCACACCCACAACGCCCAAAATTGGTATTGTGTCGCTTACATATTGTCGTAAAAGATGAAAATCATGAATTGAATATAAAGTTAAAATATGATTCATTTAATAATACGGGTTAATTTACTTTGAATTAATTATTTAAAAAAAATCCTTTTTACATTGACGTTTATAAGCTTAAAGAGTAAAATAGTAAAACATAAACTTAAGGGATTAAATAGTAAAAATAAAACTTAAAGGACTAAAATAGAAAAAATAGAGAGTTAAAGGACCAAATAATAATTAAAGCATATGTAAAGTAGTGACTAAAATAAAATATTTGAAAATATAATGACCAAAGTCGAATTCTAATAAAATAACAAATAAGTAAGAACATTACTAAAATAAAAGTATTGAAACATTAATGCTCAAAATAAAATAAGGTAAAAGTCCTTTAAGTGGGTGAAACATAAAATTATGTTGACTAAAATGCAATAAAATCTAATTATATTGACTAAAATGCAAGAAAACACAAGATAGTACCTAAATAAAAATTAAACAAAGATCAAAATGCAAAATTAAATAACATTGGCTAAATCAAAAATTAATAGTGACTAAATTAAAATAACACAAACTGAATAATAAAATTAAATAAATTAAAAACGAATGGTCCAATGACCAAAGTGTAAAAACACAACTAAGTTTAAAGGACTAAATGGTGAATTTACCAAATAATTAACACATGCATCCTAAATTGGTGTAATATCAATTTTGGTCCCTATAGGGATCAAAACGTAAAAACATGAAGAGATTACAAGCCCTTAAGACGCATCTCCCACTGGCCCTACCGGCCGCCGTGCACGTGATGGAAATCTCCAAATCACCCTAAACGTAGATCTACCCCATACTTATTTAGGGCTAAAAATTAAAAAAAACACTAGAAACTACCCCAAATGTGCCTTGACACTTCGACTTCTCCTCACTCCGACCACCATGAAGGCTTTCTCCGACACAGGTAAGCTATTACCCTACCTTTTTTTTAGACTCGTTTTTTATTACATGCAAAAAGATTATATATATATATTTCGAAACCGAAAAAATAAAATATACCTCAAAATAACTTTGCTTTTACTTCTTTTTCGTGAATTGGAGAAAAAGTCCCCTTCTTATAGAAATGGTTCGGGTATTTATAGACCCGCTTTTTTTACATTTTGCTTGCTCTATTTTTTTATTTTATTTCTGCTTTTTTTCTAAAATGATTAAAGTCAAATTATTGTGTTTGCATTGTGGATCTAGTTGTGTTTGTCGGTTGGTGGATAAAGCGGTGGTAGTGGAGAATCGGTGGCCTGGGCTTGATCTGGACCGTTGGATGGGTCTAGATCGAATGGTTCTCCTAAGAGGCGACGATTGATAGTTCTGGAAACCCTAATAAGGGTTGATCTGGCTTTGGGTTGGATCCGGATTCGGGTTTTGCAATTGGGTCTTGGATGTTATCTTTGTGGGCTCCAAGTATTGGTTGGCCTCCTAGTGGCTTGTAACTGGGTTGAGATTAGGCCTGCAAAATATAATTTAATTTTATTATTATAATAATAAATAATATTTATTTTAAGTCCGGACAGAAACGGGTGTCTACAAAATTAATAGAACTAATTAATTTAATTTTTCTGAACATTATTGTTTCTCTAATTCTTTTAATAAAACGTTACATAAAGAAAACAATGTTCTAAGTTAATCTATATAACCGACCTATAATGGTGTGTTTCTGCTTATGTTATAAAAGAAGTCTATCCTCCACCAATACATCGCATATTTTAGATTACTTGAAAAAAAAAATTAACCTCACAAAACTAGTTCTGTAAAACCTTTTAATTCTTAAGCAATCAACTCGACTTGACTGCATAGCACAGTGACTCAACTTAGTGAACCATAATTGAAATTTGAAGAAGTAAGAACTGATGTCAAAGTACATTTTTATAAGGTTTATATATTTTATGTTATCCTTTGGAACAAATTACCGCATTGCGTAGTTGATTAACGAGTTGACTTCGGTATTAGAGGTCGTGGGTTCGACCCACTCTGTTTGAAAGTTTTGTGTGTTTTTACATTTTATTTTATATTATTTTAGCAAAAGGATACATGAGGTCCTCGAAGTTTTTTTTTATTTTGAAAATATATAGGTCTTCACTTTTTTGTACTCAATGTGGTCCCTCAAGTTAAAAAAACTCAATATGGTCCTTTAACCAACGTTTATCGTCGTTGACCCACGTCGCCGTTATTTTGTGTTGACATGGCACGTTAAACAAGTTACATCTTATTTTTTTCTCTCAGTCTGACCCTCTAACTCAATATGACCCTTTAACATATGTTTAATACCGTTCTAACTAGAAAATTATATCTTCATTAGTCTTAACTATATTCTCTCTTTATTTTGGTCATTAACTTTTATTAATATTTATGATGTGACATTTATTATTCTTATTTTTAATATATGATTAAAATAATGTTAATTAAATTAAAAATTATATTGAATAAAAAAAGGCAATAGGGTACATGAGGCCTAGGGTGTAAACAAGCCGAGTCGAGCTCGAGTATTGTTGAGCTCGACTCGACTCGAAAACTCTGAAATGGAGCTCGACTCGACTCGAAACTCGCGAGCTTAAAATTTTTAAGCTCGACTCAACTCAAAATCCTGAACTGAAGCTCATGAGCAGCTCAAAAAGAAAAAAAAATCTTAAACTTAACAAGATTGAATCCTCAAATTCAAACTCGAACCTGAACCTTAAATACTGAAAACCTTATTGTATTTTTTTAAAAAATCAACACATAAATGTTTATTATTAATATTTATTTTTTAAAAAATAAAATCTAATTATATTTTTCGAGTTACTCACGAGCTTTTCGATTATCGAGCCTTGACCGAGTCGATCTCGAGTAGCTCGCGATCTGTCTCGTCTCATTATAACCCTACTGAGACCCTCGACGTTTAAAAAAACAATGTGTCCCTATTTTTTAACACCCAATGACCCTCCAAATTAAAAAAACACTCATGTCGTCATTTGACCAACTTTTATATCGTTGACCAACAACTACATTATTTGTGTTGATGTGGCACGTTAAGCATACCAACATCCTATGTGACCCTCGACCATATTTCTAATGTTTTGTAACTGCGAAAATTTAATTTAATTATACACCAATATAATTTTAAAGCTGTGGGGTATATTCTTTAATTTAATTATAATTTTGGGAATATTTTTTAATATAATTTTAAAATTTTAACTTAATAATATTATTAATTATATATTAATAAAAATAAAAATACTAATGTCACATCATACATAAATATTAATAAAAATTTATTGACCAAAATAGAAGAGAGAAGAGCGTTGAGTGATGAATGATACAAATTTCCCAATTATAAAAACTTAAATATAGGTCAAAGGTCACATTGAGTTATTTTATTGGGTTGAAGGGTCATATTTAGAGGAAAAAAATAGAATATTGTATGTTTAACGTGTCCGTCAATACACAATAACAAAATCATTAATCAATGACGAAAAATTTTAGTCAAGGGTCATATTAATTTTTTTACTTGAAAGGTTACTTAAGTGTAAAAAAAATAGAGGGTGACATTGGGTTTTTTTTTTAAACTTGGAGGGCCTTTATTTTTATAATCCACACATGATTTGGCTTCGTTTATATATCTCCCTGCAAAATTAAATTTAGGGAAAAGAAAATCAGGGAAGGAAATGTTAGGGTTCGTTTCTTGCTTACATCCCCAAATCCCCTCAACTTCTCCAAATCTACACTCCGTTTTCAGATATTCTTCTTTATTTCCCAACCTCAAATCCACATTCCACTACCCTCGACCTTCACGATTCATCCTCTAGCTCAAATGGAAACAACAACGATGATTTAACCAAACAACCTAACAAGAAACCAGAAGAAAGGCAAGTGATGGGGATTCGAAGGACGATCGGCGGTCCATTTTTAATTTCAGGCTGGGTGATTTGCTGGATCCGGATCCTGATATATCGTAGCCCTTGGATTGACGGTCTGCTGACGTGGGCCAGTGTTCAGGTTCTGTGGCAATTGTTTTTTTATTCAGGGCTATTCTTTTAGCTGCTCTCAAGTACTCTTTCATTGCTGCTCTTCTTGTTTTCATTCTCATTACTCTTCTTTGATGGATTTTCGTATCTGCAATTGCATATCATTCTCGGTTTTCCTTAGGTTTGATTTTTCTACCTTTATTTCTTGTCTTGTCGAAAATTTGAACTCTCCAAATTATCAAAAGGAAGAACAAACTGAGATTTAGGAAGGTAAGCTTGTGAATTAGATTCCACCATTAATGGCCATTCAAAGTTAGACATTGGAGGATAGAGTTGTGGATTAAGTTAGATTTTGAGTTCAAGTTTTGAATGTTAAACTCGAAGTTCGGTTCCCATTTTTGGCCAACTTTAAGTTCATTATTTTTGTTCAAACTCTTCTAAATTTTCAATTTAAGATGAGTAATTCGACCCTTCCATAGATATTGATATTGTAGACGTGGCTGAACAAAAGTTTGATTTAGCACTTCTTAATATTTTAAGGATATATGTATATTTTGGTACCTGAAATTGGTTGAAGGTTCAATGCGGTACATTATATTAAGTTTTGTTTATCAGGTACTTGAATTGGATTTTTTCCCCTTTCAAATTGGTACGTACAACTTATTTTAAAAAAAATTAAATATTTTAAGAGTTAATTGAACTAAAATGATAAGAAAAGCCTTTAAATAAACTAAGGGTGCAAAATATGATGGATGCCATCATATTAACACTAATACATTGGATCCTATTAGAATTCTGCAGTATAGTGTTTTTGAGCGAGAGTAGTACTAAGACGAGTGATCTCTTGGTAAGTCTTTGTATTGCACTTCTTATTTTTTAGATATTTTATATTTTATCGTAATATTTGTTTTTTTTTCCGTTCAGGACGAAACAAGTGGGAAAAGAGTGAATTTAAATTTTATTCAATCTATATATATATATATATATATATATATATATGAGGAAACATCAAAAACTTCTATATGTTAGCAATTTGCCAAAATCAGAGGGAGTAATAAATGAGTAAACGCCACACAGCAATTTTATATTTATAAGCTATGCTATTTGGATTTAAAGACGAGTAGCATATACTAATGTGTTTGTCCAACATTGGTCTACTCTTTTTTATATATTTATAATTTCTTCTTCATATCTATGTTTAAATATATATGTCGGACATAAATATTTGAAAAAAGAATGAAGAAATCGAATTAAGCTTAATGTTTTGTAGGTCGAGATTTGAAGCCGTTTCCTTTTGATAAATATCCCCCGGCGATTGCCATCACTTTTCTTCACTGCCGAGGTTGAGCTAGGAATGGTTCGAATGTCATCAACATCCGATTGCTTGAACCACTTCAACATGAAAATACCATCTGAACACCTGCAAGTATTACAATACTAGGATTCAAACTTCTTGTATCTCATACTATGCTAAAATCATTCATCCAACTCGCTTCGATTCTGTTCTAACCACGATGCAAAACTATGTTGATTATCATACCTGGAAGAACCAAGCATCCTGACGTTTTTCCGCCCAAGAAACCTGTGGGAAAAAAGGTAGAAAATCGACTATTATAGAAACTGAAAACGATGAGTACTGGCCTGGTAGCAGGCACATACGGGATAAAATATAGACTTACAATGCACCACCTCCTGCAGGACCGATTGCTTTGAAAAGAGACATTGCAGTCATGGCTATGCCATTGGCAGCTCCTCTCTGGTGTTGTTTCTGTTTTTGTTTTCATTTTCAAATCGTATTAAGACGAGGTGTTTTCTAATTCTATAGAAGAAGGAAAAATCCGGAGCGACGACTTACCACGGCTTGATTTTGCAGAATGAATAATCCGGTTATGATCGATACCTAATCATGTCGGAAAAACTTGATGGTTATCAAAAGGCATACAAGTGCATAACAGATGCCTAACTAAAAGGATTCACTTACTGAAAAAGGTTCTTCAAGATGGATGCACAGTTTTATTGCCAAGCCGAGAGCGAACCCGGACATCAAGACCATGCTAGAATAACTTTGCACAGAGGTATGCTTAAGAGCTGCAAGTAGCAAATCATGTAACCATTAGGGAAAATTATAAACCAACAAATGGATAAAACACAAGGCAAAGTTACAGGGTTTCGGATATTTACACTTGCGATACGAGCCACCAATACGGGTCCTAGCATCCTCTCCACATACGGGTATGTCGAAAATTGAAAGACGAGAAGGCTGAAACCTGTATATGTTCAGGAGTTTATCAATCTAATATGTGTATTTACTAGCGTATCATACCATTCTATTGAGTTGATCAAGAGATGTGTTCAGATATTAACGTGATCAAAATTAATACCAGTGATTGCAAGAACTTGTCCACATCCTCGGTTGAATAACTCAAGCCTCCCAACCTTCTAGGACTAACAGCCCATAATGAAAATATCTGCAGCACGAAGATGAATGGCAACATATTCCGATCAGATTGATTACTTTTTCAACATATTCGTATGAATCCAAGTGAATATGATTAGTACCTCTGAGTAGGCCATATCATGAAGCGAGAAAACACAGTAAACTATGATAGATGACATTAGAGGCCAGTTCCTTAGGAGGCTAGTGATTCTTTTCCCTCTTCCTTTTCTGTGTTATTTCTTTTGTGTTGAGATCATGAGTTGCAGCTTCCAAAGCATCATACGAGTCGTCCAATGATCTATCCTTCTCCTCGTGTTTGTGAAGCGTTTCCTGCAATAGAAACGATATGTTCATTTTTTTCATGATTTCCATGTCTGCAAGATAATATCCTTGTAACCATTTCCGGATATGAGTCAGCAATTAGAATACGTACCGGAAGCCAGAAAGTAGCGATGGTTACTGCCAAGGCAAAGAGTGATATGGTGAGGCATGGTAAGAAATATGGAAACCTGCAACAATTGAATGTCAACATATTAAAAACTAACAGAGAAAATGCTAATACAAAACATGAAAAGTTCTTAAATCTAACAGTGATTCATAAGCAGAATATATTCACTTACCTTTCAAACAGTGATCCTTTGGGAAAGATATTCGGATACTTCTCAGCTGGCTGAATAACAAAAATTAGAAAACCTCAATGAATACTTTAGAGTTGATATAACCGTGTCAGACACTATTCGTATCGACACTCAATCTTAAGTCCGAGGAATAACACTGTATTGGAAGCCTTAAATAGAAGTACCTGAGCTAGATAACCTCCCAGAGCAGGGCCAAAGATCAATCCTATGCCCCAAGCTGTGCTAACCTGAAAATTTTAGTACTTGTTAAGTTGATGTTGAAGTAAAATCCACGTAGCCAAAACATATATAGGTTGCTAACGGCTTACGCTTGAGAGGGCTAAGGCTTGGTATTCCGTTCGAAAAATTTCGACTGCATATGCCTGGATATTGTGAACAAAGTAATCAAATAGTTATCCGGAAACAAACGAAAACAGAATTCATGCTGTGTTCGAAACGAACCTTTATCGGTCCAAGTAAGCCATTCATACTTCCTAGAAGAAATCTTGTATTACAGCCATCCAAAAGTTTACACTAAGGCCAAAGAGAGTGTTGAAAATAACTCTGCAATACAATGGCGATGAGAAGTTTGAGAAATTTTCACAATTACTCCAGAAATGTCAACTTGAAATATGAACTTTGATGAAATTCTCACTAACACTGAAATAGTTCCCATGATTATAACAGGCTTTCGGCCGTAACGATCGGAAAATATTCCCCATAGTACGATGTTAAGCTCTTCCTAGCATGAATGCAGAGCCTTGAAAGAATTTGAGTATTGTGTTAGGATCATGTGTTTGATTGAAAAGAATGCAGCAATGAACATAAGCTCACCTACATAACCAGCATAGGCGCCAATATCTTCCTCTCTTTTTGCAATGTGGAAGTCCCTAATCTGAAAACACAACAATTAAAGGAAGACTACATGAATAAGCATCACAATGGTTACAAAAGATGAAAAGTCGTAAAGAAGAAATTGTCCTAACTCACCATGAAGTACAAGAATGGAAGAGAGATGATATGGGCAGAGCTGCAAACATTTGAAGGTATGAAATTAGGACTAATACAGATGAAGGAAACCAAAGGAAAAGGGTGTATTCGTATTCGACACTCGCACTCGAATCCTTACCGGTGCATAGCACAACAATCCATATGGAAAATAGTTCCCGAAATGGGATGCCATGCCGAGATTCCTTCATTAGATCAACCTTACATCCAGGGCAGTCCTTGTAGTACTTCTTCTTTAACAGTGGCACACTATAGTCTTCCGCCATACTTGCTTTTTGAGCTGAACAAACAGCTCAATAAACTCTTTCTTCCTCGAAGAAATCCTAGTGTCCAAGCTTTATCAATGAAGGAATATATATGTCAATACGACAGAATAAAAACAAAGTCCAATATGTTAAAAACCATGTGCTCTTCAGTCAATCTAAAACTATTCCAAAATTTCGACTCAAACCAATTCACAACAGGTGAAGAGATCAACTTGAAAAACATGCAATAACAGTAGACACGATAAGCAATCAAATCAGATTCAACAGTCGCAGAATAAAACCGCTTCACGAATATGTTTTTTGTGTAAGAACACATCCATTGTCCATGTTCTCCTGAGTTGATAACAAGAAGAAAAAACACATCAAACAAAAAAAATACCTGGAAATATTCCAAAAACAGATTCAAGATGGGAAAAAAACTTCGGGTATCTGTTTAATAAGGGCAGTCGTAAAAGCAGATCGCCTAACAGACAGACATAATTGCACACGTTAAACCAATGAAGACGACTGTATAGGATATGCGTTTTTTATATATAAATTCGGTGTTTATAAGGACAAGAATTAGATGTGGTAAAGTTGGTTTTCGCGAACGAAACTACCAGGCAGAACCGAGATAAAAAAAAACACAAAAGAAAAAAAAAGGTGAAGAATCAAAACAAGAACAGGTCTCCTCCCATTTGAAATAGATTTGTCCGGTTCAGACTAAAACTCATATACGTCGATGTGACAAGTTACGTGCGTCGATTTGCCGGGCTTTAAATTTGGGAAACGACAAACAAGGATTGGCTGTCTTTCAATTTTATGTTGCTAACCTGTTATTATATTTAATAACTGCCTCGCAGTCGCCTTTCGTCTGCGATTTGTATTCCAACACTAATATATGACTATTAGATTATGATATAAAAAACACAACTTCACATTCTTTTCATTTATACTCCTTTCTTTGGAGTCGTGTCGTCTATTTATTCCTTTAATTATACTTAATTCAAATTTAATATAAAATGTTTATCGGATTTTATTCATTAAAATTGTACATTTTTATATAATACATAAAAAAGCTTTATTATGTTTAGATAAGAAGTAATTTTTTTAATTAATCACTGGTATCTGATCTATTGATCGACTAATCCAGATCGGATTTTGCAGAGGCCCATTATGGGGGAGACTCTCCCAACCCATTTTGCTTTATCACAAACATCAGGATTCGAACCCCTGATCTTACTTAAGAAATCTAGTGTCTCATCTTACTAGACCAACTGATTGTTGATAGATAAAAATAAATTTAAATCAATAAGGTATTGCTTATCTGTAAAGTTGAATAGTTTAAGTTATAACATAATTATAGTTTGAGGTGAATATTAATCGTCATTTAATTTTTATTAGGCTATATTTATTCAGAGTTTATATTTAGTTATTATAAGATAATATAATAATAGTATTTTTATTGGTCACCCTTCGATTAATAAAAAATGATATAATAGTATTTTTTTTAATTAAGGTAAAAATTGATCTAGAATGAATAGGGAGTATAATATCTTAATTACCGGATTTTGTTTATTCAAAACTTTTTATTTATTTTTAATATAATAATACATTTATTATGACATTGAGGCGGAAGTGTTCATGGTTTTGTAAATATTATTAAATATCAAATAATAATAAGAGCATCAAACATTAAGTAATAAAAATCAAATATACCAAACAATAATGAAATTTTAACCTTTTTAACGATGATAGCAATACTTGTCAAATATACCAAAAAATAATTTTTAGTGTGAAAATGTAAATTTGATCGATGTTAATAATGTGTTTATTTTGTTATAAAATAAATATTACATTATTAATTATCGTCAACCAACATTGAAAGGAACGGCGTGATATATTAATTAATGAATATTATTATCTTTTGCTACTTCTAATTAGTTTTATTTTGGTACATTTTCAATATTTTTAAATAATAATTTTTAATTTTTTTAAAAAAAATCAGAAACTATATAAAAAATTATAATATATTTTTAAAATTAAGAAAAAAAAAGCTTGAAACATAAAGTTTTAAATATATAAATACAAAACCTACCAAAATCTTCAAGCTTTGGGTATAATTTGAGCACCAGTCCTCTTGATACAATTTAGAGAAGTGATTGAAAGAATTGGGATAGCTGTTTTTAGAGGAGATGAGAAAATTGGCCCTCCGATCAAAATGAAAAGTACAGTACAAAATAAGCATGTGGTCATGAAGTACCACTTTC